TATAAAAAAATTATAACATTACAAAAATATTCTACATTACAGCGAACTAATGAAAAATAAAGAGTCTAATGCAATGATTTAAATTCTCTGGTGTTTCGCGGCATAATAGAAATCATCTTCAGGTTTTTATTTACAACTGCATCAAGGGATTTTCTTCTGTGTTAATTAATGCTGCTGTGTACAATATGGTGAGTGTAGAAAATCGGAGACCCTTTCTACAGGAAAAGAGGCATTCCGTATTTGTCCTCAGTGGTGACAACGCATCTGCATTTTGATCCTTAATCGAGGATAGATGTAGATATCTTGGGCCCCAGCATCCACTTTCCATCAGATGGACTGTGTACTCATTTGTCACCCTTAACCGTTAACCGTTACAGTCTATTAAAGTACACCGCATAACACAGGCCTCCGCCATAGAATGCTTCATAGGGAGATATTTGGCATAGTTGCCTCTTGTTATTTTTGGTCGTTATTATAAAGACGTTGCTTCCTATCCTCTGATTAGTTTCCCTCAGTCGCCTCTTACGACACCCACGAGATGATATGGGGCAGTGGATATTCTCAACCGCCACTACACGGTACAACCTATATCTGTGTGTGTATTGTAGTATTCCATGATCTATACGCACCCTTAGTCTAGAAACAAGAACTACTGCATCTCAAAGGGTGACAAACGAGTGATATTAAATTATCGAATTATCTTTAAAACGTATGACATGTAATATCACAAAGTGCAATGCGCTGACAAAGTGTAATATAGTCTAAACGCGATTTACGAATAGGGAGTGTGGTAACAGATGTTCGAGCGTGTTAATATTCTTAAATGATAATATTTTTTCAGTTGAAATCAAAGTGCCAATCATTGAATGTTTTGACAGCTTTGCTGGTCTAGTGGTCGTAAACTTGACTGCTAATCATTAGTTGCTGGGTTTGAATCCTGAGTTGGATAAAAAATACAGTTTTTGTATTTTTCTGTCATGAAATTCTCTGTAGCATCCCTGTTTATCGATTAGTCAGTAAAGTAAAGCCGTTGGTCCTGCGCCTGATCTCTCTCCGGTCGTGTCGGTTTACCGTCCCATCGGATTATGAGAGTGAGGCAATAGAGAGTGCACCTGTGCTTGCGCATACACTTGCGCACTATAATCCTGTTCCGCGCCGATGGCTAGTCTCCGTTGAGGCTGGCCGCCGTGACCGAAATTCGGTCTAGAGGACAGTACTATAGCAAGTCGTTCAACGTATTGATGCTCAATGAAGATGCAACTTATATATGCTACAGTAATCGGCAATTCATACGTGGTAGAGTCACCCTGCAGCTATTTTATAAAACACCGATTCCTACCAAGGATGACACGGGAGGCTATTAAAATTAAAAAACATCCTAATTTCAATAGAGAAGATATCCATCTTCTATGCCTACGGGTGCTACCTTCTGCTTGGGATCTTATAATTAATAAAATTAAATCCAAACCTAAGCACACGACTGCAAGACTTCAAGATACTCTAAACTTGTTCTGCGTAGATCGGACCAAAAATTAATATCCAAAAACTGAAGGAAACCGGGCTAACTATGACAATGGAACGTCAAAAACCTTAATCCCATGGTTACTGGGAGGAGGGGTCCTTCCAGGAACCATGGATGCTGTAAAGCACCCAAAATGTCGGGAATTAAAAATAAATTAATAAGAAATATATATAGCTAAATAAATTAATAAGAAATATTATAGCTGTAGCACGAATTGGTCGGCTCGCCGGGGAAGGACCACGCTCTAACAGAATACCAGCGTAAAATAGCAGCTGTAATAAACTGCTTTGTTTCGTATATTGAGTGCAAAGAACCGGAGAATATTACTGATAATATTACTAGAAATGAGGCATTCCATCTCCTTACGGGCGATAACGCATCTGCATTTTGATCTGTATTCGAGGATAGTTGTGGATGTCTATGAGCCACAGCATCCACTTACCATCAGACTGTATGTTTGCTTGTGAACCTTGCTTGTGCTTGTGCACCCTGATTCCATTTTTAAAAAAATCTGGTACATCGCGCATCATTGCGCAATTCGCGTGTTCTAAAACATTTTATTCCTTAGACTTACAGGTTTCGCAAGGCTAATGAAATCAAAAAACATCCTAATTTCAAAAGAGAAGATGGCTGGGCACTATCATCTGCTTGGGATCCTATAATTAATAAAATCTAATCCCAACCCAAGAATACAACTGCAAGACTTCAAGATACTGTTACGAGCTTGAGGTTCGTGACAATAAAAATTGCCGATAAAATTACCTAAATTAACACTTTAATTTACTTTACGCAAATTAAAACTAAAAACACTAATAATTAAACACACTAATTCACTTAATTCCGCTCCGAAGCTTCGCTTGTGTCGCTGAGTTAAACTCTACCACGATCGCATCTTGCAGCACTTATTTATTTAAATTAGCAAAGAAATATCCAGAATGTTCAAGTAAACACGCGCAAGGTACCGAGCGTTCGAGTTTCGACTAGGCGCTGTCGGTTGAAACATTTATGATGTCATTTTCTCAATGCTCCCCCTCGCTCTCGTTCCTGACACTAGATGGCGCTAGTTGACTTATTCACGCAACACTGCCCCCTCCTAAGACATGCTCGTCCCGAGCATTATCGGTCCCATAATAACGCGCCAAGCGATCCACATGGACGATCTTAGGAGTCCCTCTTGCGCTTTTCTGTATCCGATAGGTCACATCGTTGATCCTGGTTACAATCCGGTACGGGCCGTCCCATTTAGCTTGAAGCTTAGGAGATTTCCCTTTGCTGCGGACTGGATTGTGCAACCACACTAATGAACCTTTGTTGAACCCTTTATTGTTCATTTTGCGGTCGTACCGGGTTTTCATTTTCTCAGACATTTGCTGGCCCGATTGTCTGACGTGCTCATAAATGTCGTTCATTTTGTTCCGCAAGTCATTTGCATAATCGGTTATACTGCGTGGGGCATCAGGTGGTATCCCGGTGATCAGGTCCGCAGGCAGCCGTAATTCTCTTCCAAAGTTTGCGAAAGCTGGTGTCACTGCTGTACTTTCGTGAACAGAACTTCGATATGACAACAAAAACGGTTGTATGTGCTTGTCTCAATCTCGTTGCCGATTGTCTACAACTTTTGCTAGGTACCTCTCCAATGTCTGATTAAATCGTTACACCATTCCATCAGATTGCGGGTGATAAGAAGTCGTTCTTGTTTTATGAGTACCCATAACTCGGCAAGTTTCCTGGAATATCTGAGACTCAAAATTCCTTCCTTGATCGCTGTGAATCTCTAAAGGTACTCCAAAACGACAGAAGACTTCATGAACTAGTTTATCTGCAACTGTTGAAGCTTCTTGATTTGGAATGGCGAAGACTTCTGGCCACTTAGTGAAGTAATCCATCACAACCATGAAATACTTGTTACCGCTTTCACTCTCCGGAAACGGCCCCGCCACGTCAATGGCTATTCTCTCCCATGGTGCACCCACATTGTACAACTTCAATGCACCTCTACTACGAGTCTGAGGTCCCTTTACAGCCGCACAACTTGTACATTTGCGACACCAGTCCTCGACATCGTTTCGACAGTGGACCCAGTAAAACCGTTCTCGGATCTTCAGTAGAGTTCGTTTAACTCCCAGATGGCCTCCTGAATAATCATTATGGTACAGCTGTAGAACATCCGGTACTTTAGTTTTAGGGACAACCATTTGTAAATGACAGCTGTCTCCCCGAACATTTTCCCATTTACGGCACAGAACTCCATCCTGAAGCAGCAAGCTGTCCCACTGGGCCCAATAGCTTTTAGTGGTTGAACTCATTGCTGAGACGTCGCTCCACTTAGGCTTGGGAGCACTGGCCTTCATCCATTCCAGGATCGGCTTGATGTCCGGATCTTCCTGCTGTGCACGTTGAAAGCTGTCCTTCCACTCGTTGCTGAGGTGGTCTGCCCTGAGCATCCTCACGGATACCACTTCTTTACTCTCTTGCCTAGTACAATGTTTGCAATCCTCAGGACAAGGTCTTCGTGATAATGCATCTGCGTTGCCATGAGATTTCCCGCTGCGATGTTCGATCTCAAAGTCGTATTCCTGTAGTAGTTCAATCCACCTCGCAACTTGTCCTTCTGGATTTTTAAACTGCAATAGCCACTTTAGTGCAGCATGGTCAGTTCGTAAGTGAAATTTTCGCCCCAGAAGATATTTGCTAAAATGCTGCAACGATTTTACCACAGCTAGCAATTCGCGTCTTGTGACACAATAGTTCCTTTCCGGTTTTGACAACGACTTGCTGAAGTACGCTATCACGACCTCTTGGTCACCATTCCGTTGAGACAACACACCGCCAAGTCCTATATCACTTGCGTCTGTGTCAACTATAAATTCTTTGCTTGCATCAGGGTATCCCAAAATAGGTGTTTTGCACAGACGGTCCTTGAGCTCCTGGAATGCGATATTACAACTTTCATCCCAGCAGAAATGTCGCTTCTCCTCGGTTAGCTTATGCAGAGGTTTGGCTATATCTGCAAAGTTCTCGCCAAAACGTCGGTAGTAGGAGCACAAACCCAAAAATGCTCTAACCCTTACATCCCTGCCGAACACAATTGTGACGGTAGTTTGAAGCAAAATTTCCGTTAAATTAATAATATTACTTAGACGGGCCCAAGCTCGCACGATTGTGTCGGCTATCTACTTTGCATTGGTGTGAGTGAGACAAGTTGCGTACGAGCCGCTCTTCATGTTTCGACCCGTTCATTCTGACGATCATCGCCACCTGTGTCACGCCACGTGTTGGTAAGAATATTTTACTTATTTTTAAAGAAATCATAACAATTGTGGTATTATTTTATTACGTATTAATTACTTTACACAAAGCTGAATTAGTTATGTCGTTGTTTTAGGTTTAATGTACGAAAAATTAAGTAAGAAATTTACCGTCACAATTGTTGCACGCCGGCCCCAATCAATAAAAAAATACCATTTTGGCGGGAAACATGTCTCAGCTCGATGATGAGGATATTGAAAATTTACTGCAGCAATCTGACCTAGAGGATATAGGTGATGATGAGGACGACACATGGGCCCCGGATGCTGAAAATGACGGTTTATCTGATGATTCTGAGGACGACATGCCTCTGTCTTCACTGCCGATTTCTCGTGAATCTGATGATGGAAAATGGATTAAAAAGAAGTTCCGTGGTAGGCCTACCGCAGTCCAACAGCCTCCAGACCCAGGTGAGCCACCAAAATCGCCAGCAGAGTATTTTGAAAACTATTTTACTGAGGAATTATTTGAACAGTTTTCGACTGCCACTTCACAGTACTATATAGCTGAAAAGGGGTGTGCAATGAAGCCACAATGCTCGCCAGGTGAGATTAAAAAGTTTTTTGGGGTTCATGGTATGATGAGTCTTGTCAAATGTCCTAGGATGAAGAAATGTACTGGCATCAGAAATTTAAATACGATCCTATCGCCTCGGCGATGTCTCGTGATCGTTTTTTTTTATTACGAGTTAATCTGCATGTTGTTGATTATAATAGCGTTGATGAGGACGAAAAGGCCAGGAACCGTTTGTGGAAAATACAGCCTGTGATAGACGCTGTTAGAAATCGTTGCCTGGCATTGCCTCGAGAAAGCACTACATTCTCCATAGATGAGCAAATGATTCCTTTTACTGGCCGATGTCCTGACAAGCAATATGTGCCAAACAAACCTAGACCTGTAGGCTTAAAAAATTTTGTAATTACAAAACCACAGGGCCTAGTACTTGATTTTGAAATATATCAAGGTGCTACAACTGACTTGCCCGATAGGTCTTTTGGTTTGGGTCCCGCCGTAGTCTTGCGTTTAGCAAGGACTCTTCTTGGCGGAAGCTTATATTTTGATCGCTACTTCACGACGATCCCTTTGCTCAGAGAACTAAATGACAGGCACTTTGATGGAACCGGCACAATCATGGCTAATAGGTTCAAGAAAACTTTGTACACTTTTAAAAAAGATTCTGCAATGAAGAGAGGTGAATGGGAAGAGATCGTAAGCCCGGATGGAAAACTTTGTATGGTGAAATGGAAGGATACGAAGAGCGTGCTAATGATTTCATCAATACACGGTGGGGATCCAAGTAGCACTGTATCACGATGGGATAAAAAAACAAGAGCATATCAAAGCATACCATGCCCAAGCGTTGTACAAAATTACAATCAAAACATGGGTGGCGTGGATTTATGTGACCAGATATTAGAAACTTATAGGACATGGTTCAAAACAAGGAAATGGTGTTTTAAGGTCATTATCCATCTTTTTGACCTTGCCATAGTAAATTCGTGGTTTGAGTACAGGGAAGATGCCAAACGAAACAATTTGCATAAGTCTAAGATCATGGATTTACTGAGCTTCCGTTTGTCCATTGTGGAATATTTATTGGGTGAACCAACCAGAAAACGAACCAGAGACGACTTGGAACTTGCTGAAATGCCAAGTACATCTGAGTACAGACGAGCTCCTATGCCGACAGTTGACAAACGCTATGATGGCTATAACCATTGGCCCATATTCGACACACTTCCAGCTCCTAGAAAATGCAGGTTATCTAACTGCTCCAGTCGATCCCGTGCTCGTTGTTCTAAATGCGACGTGTATTTGTGCTTAACTAAAGACAAGAATTGTTTTTTTTTCTTTTCATAATAATATCTAAAACTACTTTGTTCAATAATCGCCTAATTAAATGGATCTCATGTTTGAATACAATTTTCTTTAAATGTATAAGACTGTAAAAATAGTTATGTTAACTTTTATGTTTGATGATTGTCCTAAGTTCCTATTATTTTACTAAGACTTTAAATAAACAAAATTTCAAATTTCCATATTTTTATTTCATCTATAACAATAGATAAATATATTATAACACACAAGAATCTCTAATCGTAGTCGTCTGTCTCTAACTGTACTCACGAACAGTATGGCCCCAGTTGAAACAATTGTGACGCAGTAACACTAGGGCCCAGGTAAACACAATTGTACGCCACCTGAAAAACACTGAAAGAAGCCTTATATCACTGTAAACAGGTCATACCAGTCTTCACTATACCTCGAAGACTTTAAATAAAAAGAATATGTGATCATAACCCACGCGGCGTCGGCGCCGGTCTGTAAGGGCTAACCTGCGTCTTGTCTTTTTGGAACCGGCCAATCCTTTACAGCTGCGATTTTCTCTGGATCCGTGCGGATACCTTCTTCAGACACTACATACCCCAAAAAGTTGACTTGCCGTTTGAATAGTGAACATTTCTTCGGACTCAACTTGAGGTTGGCACTCTTAATCTTCATGAGCACGCGTTCCAGGTTTTGAAGGTGTTCCTCAAACGTACGGCCCACGATTATGATGTCATCCAAGTAGACCAGACAGGCGTCGCCAATTAGCCCGGTAAGTACAAGTTCCATCAGCCTTTCAAACGTCGCTGGAGCATTGCACAACCCAAACGGCATTACTTTAAATTGCCACAGACCCTTTCCCGTCGAGAACGCTGTTTTCTCCTTATCCTTAGGGTCAATTTCAACTTGCCAGTAGCCACTTTTTAGGTCCAGCGTGCTAAACCACTTTACTCCTGTAAGCATGTCCAGCGTGTCGTCAATTCTTGGCAAGGGATAGCTATCCTTCTTAGTAACGTCGTTCAGACGGCGGTAGTCAACACAAAACCGCAAGCTGCCATCCTTCTTCTTTACCAGTACTACGGGTGAACACCATGGACTAGATGAAGGTTCAATAACACCATCCTTCACCATTCCCTTAATCATGGTTTCCACTTCCTTTTCACGTGCTACCGGCAATCGTCTTGGCCGCTGACGGATAGGCAACTCTTCACCTGTGTTTATTTTGTGTTGAACTAAACCAGTCTTTCCTATGTCAGCATCGTTTGATGAGAATACATCGGCGTACTCGAGTAACAACTTCTTCGCCTTGACCAATTCGTTCGGGGACAGAACGCTGCGACAGTCTTCCAAAAAGTGTGGTCACTCTCGTTTCTGAATCCTTGCTGGGGGTCCCACTCGATATATATTGGCACTGACGTAACCAATCCACTTCCTCACAAGTACCAACCAGTGTACCTTTTTCTATAATCTGTTCCCGGTCGCAAAGGTTCAGCACACGTACTCCTGAGATGTCAGTGGTCCTGACCAAGGTTCGAGCTACTTTCCATGGAAGGTCATTGTTTACCCTTTCCACAAGTACACAACGGTGAGCTTGCCCAGCGTTTCGAGGAAGACTAACCGGAACAATCGTTTCCGATCTCGGCGGAAGAACAATCTTCTTGATGCTATACACGTTCCCTGGTAACGCACCTTCCATAAAAAGTTCCTCCTGTCCACATTTCAAAACACCTTGCTTAACGTCGATCTCACAACAATTATTCCTCATAAAGTCTAGGCCTAGGATGCAGTCGTCCATTATATCAGCCACGATGACATTATGCAGGTAGATCACGTTGCCTAGCTTCAACTCCATCTCCTTCTCTCCACGGATGGGTATACGCTGACCGGTGGCTGTTACCAAATTAATGCGTTCTCGGTTGTATGCGGAGTCCCCAAGAAACTGACTTATAAGTTGGGAACTAACAACCGTACGAGAGGCTCCAGTGTCTATGGTCAGCTTACACGGCATTCCGTTGATCTCGCCCTTTATGATTAGGCTGTTCCCATCATGGTTTTGTGAAATCGAAATCCTTGGGGCTCTTTTAACATCAGCCAGCACCCGCCCCGCAGTTCTGGCTTTTACTCGTTTCCCTGCCGCTGCTGGGCGGTGCTGTTGGCCGCACTACCCTCCTGAGATCGTTCAATTTCCCTTTCTAGGGTTCGCTTAGGGCAGCTGGATCGAAGATGGCCCTTTTCCCCACAGCCATAGCACCTTGGGCTGTATCCTTTGTTGCGGTCGCGAACTGTAGCTGCTACAACCTCCCTGACGCGATGGGAACGATGATCCTGCCGCACGGCTTCCACTTCCAGTGCATGGGCCAAGGCGTCCTTAAGCGTCTCGTGGTGCCCGAGCCTCACAGCAGCTCTGACTTCCAGGTCGCGGATGCCGTCGATGAATGTCTGCACCAGGTTCCCTTCAATGAGCGCAGGTACAGACCGGTATGCTTTTCGCACCAGCTTCTCCACTTCTAGAGCCCACTGCTGCAGGTTTTCGTTGATGCGCTGCACACGATCTTTAAGCTGCGCACGAAAGACGTGTTCCAGGTGAGCGTCGCCATATCTCGCCTCCAATGCCTCAAGGAGTTGCTCATAAGTCACTTCCTCACCGAGAGCTTCCAGAACTGTTAAGGCCTGGTCGCGCAGGCCTAGTGTGAGAGCAGTCATGGCCTGACTTTTATTCCAGCCGTTCGCCTTCATAACAGCCTCGAACTGGATTTTGTAGGCTGACCAGGAAGAAGTCCCGTCGAATGGTGGCACCTTGAACCCACGTAGCGAAGGTGTAGTAGCTACTACGGGAGCTGTAGCTCCCTCCCCAAGTTTGAGTTCGTCAAGTGATTTCCTCATGTCAGCCATTACGTTGTCAACCCGATTGTTCACTTGGTCAATTCGGGTTTCAGCTTCCGACAGGCGGTTTTCATGTTGAGCAACCTTATCACCTCCCTTATCTCTTTCCCGAAGGTAGCGTGAAGGTCCTTCATGAGAAGCATCTGTTCTTCCTGGCCGCCCCGCAGCTGCTCTTCCAACCGACGGACCTGTTCCTCCTGTCGGCGAGCCTGTTCCTCCTGTCGACGAGCCTGTTCCTGTAGCATCGCCATCAGAGCACCTAAGTCAGGTGCTGCAGATGTAGGAGCTACTGACGGGCCCGCAGCCTCCGTGGCTGGCATTTGACCCTCCGACGTTTGCGGCGTTGCACCACCAAATCTCCTCTGGTCCGTCTCCTGCTGGCGTTGACTTACGGTACGGACACCCTCCATCTCGTCCTTAGGTAAAATCGGCATGATTTTATCCCACTTCTGACACCAATTGTTACGAGCTTGAGGTTCGTGACAATAAAAATTGCCGATAAAATTACCTAAATTAACACTTTAATTTACTTTACGCAAATTAAAACTAAAAACACTAATAATTAAACACACTAATTCACTTAATTCCGCTCCGAAGCTTCGCTTGTGTCGCTGAGTTCAACTCTACCACGATCGCATCTTGCAGCACCTATTTATTTAAATTAGCAAAGAAATATCCAGAATGTTCAAGTAAACACGCGCAAGGTACCCAGCGTTCGAGTTTCGACTAGGCGCTGTCGGTTGAAACATTTGTGATGTCATTTTCTCAATGCTCCCCTCGCTCTCGTTCCTGACACTAGATGGCGCTAGTTGACTTATTCACGCAACAATACTAT